CGTTGTAAAAAAAAATTCTTAGGTTCTAGTCTAATGGAGATGCCATGGTGCAAACTTATCTTTTTCTAATCTATTCATGGCATTCTCATGAACAAAACTTGAAAGAAAATTGACAACTGATAAAAAAAATCACAACACTAGAAACACAAGATAATCTTATGAACTAATAATTTGTAGTAATGCAATGTAGGTGAATAATACATTACCTAATCTCATTATTTGTTGGAATTGGCGAGATGGACCTCACTGATTCAACTCAATCCCAAAATCAAAATCAGCAAAAGCATGCGATTTTGTTGAAGCTATCAAAGAAGAGTGGTACAAAGAGAACAATGATTAGTTTGGAAATGATAAACCAGGACTAATCTAGGTCTCAAAATAAACTATGTTTTTCCTCGTTTCGTTGCCGTTCATCGGCAATATCCCCGTGTATTAGGCACTCGCTGGCGGTTGTCTCCTACCCTTCTCTGGTGCTCTTGATTGCGATGCAATGGATTGCACAAGTAAAAGATTTATAATTGATTCTAAATCAATATGATCATACTTCTACGATTTTAAAAGAAACAAACTAATCTGATGTGAAAATCAACTACCTTTTCCTTTGTGTTGTTGATGTTCATCTGTGCTTCCGGTCTGCTGGGAACTGGTAACATGTGCGTACATGTGCGTGGATCGACACCCGCCTACCTGGAGCCGCCTTCCCTTCTCCGCTTCTCGATGGCGGCCCAACGGAGAGATCCGATCGCAGCAACTACCGGGCGTTAGTCTCGATCGCAGCGGCGGCTTGGAGAGAGTAGCGATATGTGCTTTCGTAATCAGGTCGTGGCTGCGTGTTAACAGGCCTATTTGCCTTCCAAGATGGCCTGCTAGGCAATTCTCCTTTATGATTTTATTGCTTTTAGCCTGCAATGGGCTGTACATGGGCCGATCCGTTCACATTAATGAGAAAAGGTGTGAAAAAATAATAGGGGGGGGGGGGGCGAAGCAAGCACGAAACAAGCGGGCAAGGGAAAAAAATAGCGATTAGTTGGTCGCTATCGAGGGACGAGACGATCGTTAGGGGGGGTCTCGCCCCCCTCGTCCCCCCTTAGATCCATCCCTGCTTACTGGTTTGGACCGGCTTTAGAAGCTTCTACATGGATTTTTTTTCCTCTCTTTTTTCGGGTATACTGTGTTCCTTAACCGTGTTTTTTTTCTTTTTCTATTTTTCAACACATGTCCTCATTTTTTTTACACATTGTATATTTTTCGTATACAGGTCAAACATTTTCTAAATAGACGTTGAATATTTTTCAAATACATGATGTACATTTTTTGAAATGCATGTTTTACTACATGTTAAACAATTTTTGAATGGCGTGTAATAGTTTTTTAATCTACAGCCATGTGTGTTTTGCGCTACGCTCGGCTTACATGGTACTAACCTGAGGGCCCTACAGTTGTCGTATTTTTTAGGGGGTGCACAGCTTATAGTGGGCTAAGCTGAGCAGCAGAGAAATAACGCTTGACTTATGGTAAAATAGTAGGTATCATGTGTTTTTCCCTTAGCGAACAAGATATATACATCATCGATTCACAAAAAAAAGATATATACATCATTGTCATCATCTTTTACCTTGTACTGACCTAAGAAGAATATGACATATTGGTTTTGTGAACTGATCTAAGGGCATGGCTAACGGTATGCTTCAAGAGTGATGCCTCGCAGCCAACTAGGCTCGGATGCCACTGTGGAGTAAGTTTAGTAGCCTTGCAGTGTGTCAGAGCAGTTTGCAGAAGAGATCGCTGCCCCATCAGAAAGAGAAGAAAAGCAGATGTAGAGAGGGCGCTGCGTGCATAGTTGAAAGCAGGAAGAAGATGATGTTGGGGCACATAGTACTGTTGGAGTCAGCCACAGGCATTGTGTGAAAATAATTTAATGGGTGCCTCATTTTTCCTCTGTCTAGCTGGATGGGCAGCATATTGACAGGTCGGTTATGCGATCTACTCCCTCTGTTCCTAAATATAAAACATTTTAGAGATTTCAATATGGACTATATAAGAAGCAAAATGAGTGAATCTATATTTATAAAATATGTCTGATATACATCCGTATGTAGTCCGTATTAATTATTTTTTTAAATGCTTATATTTAGAAACGGAGGGAGTATTAAATAACGGTATTAAAGACTTGGTATCTAGATATTTACAAAAAATTCTGTGAATAATGACGCGCATAAATAATACATGTTGATGACGAAGTGTCATGAAAAACGCGCTCACTGCTGTGTCATGGCGCAGTCGGGTGGTCCGTCGCTACTTTGGCTTAGCCGGCGTCGCCATCGTACGTCGGCACAGATTTCTGTCTGTCGGCACACCGCTCGAATTGGCAAACTAGGCGCTCAGCCGGGCCAAGCTGCAGCTCTCGCGTATGTACGTTCATGTGCTACTGCACCCTCGATCGCGACGACTCCTGCTGTCCTGCATATTCTCCACGTGGTTCACTGATTTATTGCATTCTTGGCATTGTGCGTGCGACGGCGACGGCACCGGCCACGACGGCGATATAATGCCCAGCACCTCACGCACGCACCAGAAGGCAGCTGTGACACCAACACCGGCTAAGCTAGATAGTAGACATATGGCGGCGGGAGGCGTGTGGGTGTTCCGGAAGGACGGCGTGATGGAGCAGGACGCATCGACGACGGCGAAGAGCAAGGCGCTGGTGTACATGCCGGCCAACGAGCCGATGAGGTCGCTGCCGGCGCTGGAGCGGCGGCTGGGGTCGCTCGGGTGGGAGCGCTACTACGAGAACATCGCCGTGGTGCAGCTTCACAGGCCGGACGGCGGCCTCGACCTCATCACTCTCCCGCGCGACTTCGCCAGGCTGCGCTCCACCCACATGTACGACGTCGTCATCAAGAACCGAGGCCACTTCAGGGTCGTCGACCACGTCTACTAATGTGCACTTTGCACTAAAGCCGCCCAATTAGTAAGCTATACTAAGCATATGTAGCATGAGTAAGCCTATAGCTAGCATATGAAGGCGTCTCTGACGACTTCGCCAACTTCAAGATGTTATCCGTATCAGCTCAGTATCTCTTTTTTTCGATGTATCGGCTCAGTATCTCGAAGATGCTCATAAAGGTAAGGTGTGTGCGTATGTTATTGGATTGAGTGTATGTGAGCATATGAGCTTGTAATGTGTTCAAAAAGAATAAATATGTGTAACATGAAAGATTCTGTAGGAAACGTTAAACCCTTTGTCTTAGGCCGCATGTGTATATATAGAAGATTTGCCGTGGCTTACAAGCTTGAAATATCGCTAGGATTCTTTCAGATTACATCAAGAGACATTACAACTCATGGGAGGAAGAAAAGAGCAGAAGAAGAGATAGGTCTACAATAGGTCGACAATGTCTGCGCACATCCACTCCTCCTAAGCTCCACCACATGCATGGTCGTGGCGCCGAAAAGTTGAGTTGTGAATAACTTTAGTCTAATGTTGGACTTAATCTATATAGTGTTATATTTTTCCTTATTTTTGTTCCTAGGACGCGGACTATGAGCATTCGGCGCTGACGCTCACTGGAATCTCAGCTTCTGGACTGATGTCTAGGATCAATGCGTGATTGGACGAAATGAAGTGTTGTTGTTGAATAACCGCTCCAGCGTAGAGTGGCATAGTGTGTATCTGTTTGGCGACAATAAATTAGGACTAAAAGCCGTAGTGTGTACACCACAGTACAGTTGGGCATTTATTAGACTGCGAGGACTATTGAGCCGCCGATACTTGTAGTGAAACACGCTCGCCATGGTTCAAGTAGTCCTACACTTGGCACTAGTCTTGCATTTTCCTGCATTTATTTTAGCCTTTCCAACGATGTTTTCAATGAGAGAAGACGTTTTCGTCGACTACGAGGTGTTTATGGTGATTTCGTCAATCTCAAGATATGATGCCAGTTCAGTATCTCGAAGGTGCTCATATGGGTAGGGTATACACGCGCGCGTTCATGGGGTGGGTAAATGTACAAAAAAATCAGGTAGTATATAAATTGCATTAATACTTTCTAGATTAACATGAATATTTGAGTCATGAAAAAAAATTAATATTACAAGAACATCTTTTTCACAAGTGAACACCTTTTGTGACCACACTAACGTTTTCGGAGTACCTGTTGGACATTCTTCGAGTAAGCTGGCCATTTTTACAAATACACATATTTTTTTGGGAAATGTACGATTAAAAGATTCAAATAATGTTGAACATTTTTAAATTCATGATAGAATATGTTTTTAAAGGCGCAGACACTTTTAACTTCATGGGTATTTTTAAAAAGTGCAAATAAATTACGAGTATTCTTTACTTATTTCTATTATTAAATTTCTTATACATAAATTAGTAGGATACATTTTTTTCATGAAAGAATTCATATTTGCAAGATGCATTTTTTAAAATGCCTTTTTGTAGGTCACACTAGTTTCAGCCCATTTAGCTTGGGCTGCAAGCGAGCAGTCCACACACATAGGGGCAGCCAATCGGGGCCAGCCAAGCAGGAGAGGCCAGTTTTCCTTATTTTTCTTTTCTTGCATATTGTTCACTTTGCCTGAGTTTGCTCCGATATTATCTTTATTTCCAGATTTCTAAAATTATAAGAATATTAATGAATAAATAAATCAACATATTCAAAATATTAACTTTCATGGATGTTTTTAAAAGTGCAAAAAATATGAATATTTTAATTACTATTTTTAATAAATTGATTATACATCAATTAGTAGGATTCTTATTTTTCTTCTTAGAAAGGATTCATATTTGCCAGATGTAAAAAAGATGTGTACCTCTATGAGCCGCATAAGTTCCAGCCCATTTAGCTCCGGCTGCAGGCCAGCCGTCCCCACTATTCCTCGCAGTAGGCAAGTCATATGAGCAGCCCAGTCGCATGGGCTAGCTCAGTATGGGAGGCACCGTGCAGCCCCTTAATGTTCCCAAGAACAATTATTGGTCCACCGGTGTTTATGGAGCTACTGGCGCACTGAACACACGTTGCACATTTTAAAATGTTCAAGAAATTCCGGAAAACAATTAGCACATTCACACAACATTAATGTAGGTTGTCAAGAAATTCCAACTCAAAATTAAAAACATAGCTCAGAAAAAAAATAAGTTCAACATTAAATAGTAAATAATATAGGTTGGTCTTTAGATTTGACCCATTATCACATCGATGTCAAATATTTCATTTCTTGTATCTCAAGAAATATTTCAGATTTTGACACAAAATTTTGTTACAACATACACTGATGTTGTGTCAATGTGCTAGATTTTTTTCCTGACTTTTTAAAATATCCTATGGCATCCCGTGCACCGGTAGGACCACAAGTGTGGGTGCACCGGATACACCCCCCCCTTTTTTTTGTTCCATACCGTTAGCTTTGCCCAGTTTTGTTCTTATATTTTCTTTGTTTTCCTGTTTACTATTTTAATTTATCTTATTTCGTCTCTTATCTTTTTTTAATAGTTTCCCTTGTATTGTGTTTTGTCATTCCCTTTTACAATTATTTATACTAAAATAAAATAATATTTTTTCTAAAAATTACACTTGCATCCTTTTTATAGCGGGTGAAGAATTTTCCTATGTACATGAAAATTTATAAAATGCATGAATTTTAAAAAAACTTATAAGCATTCTAAAAATACATATTAATGAATGTTTTTAGAAAATGTACTCACAATTGTTATAATGAGTGAACAATTTGAATTTGCTTGAACATATTTTGAAGAGGTGTGAAAACATATAAAAAATGCATCAATAATATCGAATAATTTTGTCAATGCGTTTGAGACACAAAAATTATTTCAAATATTTGAACACTTTTTGTTACATCGCCATTTGAAAAAAAAATGTGTGAATATTTTATTAATTAGCATGTTCTTCATAAATAATTGAAAACTTTACTTTAGATGAATTTTGAATGTATGTAAACAAAAAAATCACTTATGGATTTTCCTTTATTTTCTGCAGTTGCGGGTAGGACAAAAATATATCGGTGCACATGGTTTCACTTGCACCTCTATAAGCAGTAAAATAAAAAATTATTCAGAATAATTTTAAAATATATGGTCAAGTGTTCTACCCATGTGCGAATTTTCATAAAGAAATCACATGTGTAGTGCTCTGGGAGAAGAAAACAAAATCGAACAATGATTATTCGTAAAAAAAAGACCATTTTAAAGCACCAGATTACTCTGATAACCGAAATTTTGAGGTCTGCATTGCCCTAATTAAATTGATTATACATAAATCAGTAGGATTCATATTTTTATTAGGAAAGGATTCATATTTTTATTAGGAAAGGATTCATATTTCCAAGATGTAAAAAGATTTGCACCTCCATGGGCCGCACAAGTTCCAACCCATTTACCTCCGGATGAAGCCAGCCGTTCCGACTATTCCTCGCATAGAGCGATCCATAGGAGAAGCCAGTGGCATGGGCCGTGCTTATTTAGGTTCTTGTGCACCGTTATTTGTGGTGCTGCCAGTGCACCGAACTGACGTTGGCATTTTAAAATGTTCAAAAAAGTCTGAAAATCAATTAGCATATTCACATAACATTAATGTAACTTGCCATAGAATTTTCAAGTCAAAACTCAAAACATAGTTTTTTTTTGAGAAAAAACTCAAAACATAGCTCAGAAAACGAAAATGACATTGAATAGTACATAACATAAGTTGGGCTTTAGATTTGGCCCGTTATTAAATTGATGTCGAATTTTCATTTTTCTATGTCAAGAAATATTTCAGATTTTGATACAAATTTTTTTGACATGTTGGATGCTAATACATTGATGCTGTGTCAATGTTCCAGATTATTTTCAGATATTTTAAATGTTCTATGGCGTCCCTTGCACCGGTAGCACCAGAAGTGTGCGTGCACCGAATACATCCATCCTTTCTTTTTGTTGCATATCGTTAGCTTTACCGGTTTTGTTCTGATATTTTCTTTGTTTTCCTGTTTAGTATTTTTATTAAATTTATTTCGGCTTTCATCTTTTTATTTTATTAGTTTTCTTGTATTGTGTTTTGTCATTCGATTTTATTATAAATTTTCCTAAAATGACATGATACTTTTTCAAAAAATTACGCTTGCATCCTTTTTATAACGGGTGAACAATTTTCCTATGTACATGAATATTTAAAAAATGCATGATTTTTCTCAAAAACACTTACAAGCACTCCGAAAACATGTAAAAAATCCATTTAGTGAACTTTTTAACAATGTACTCACAATTATTATAATGTGTGAACAATTCGAAATTTTATTGAACGTATCTTGAAGAGGTTTGAATTCTTTTTAGAAAAACATGAATATTATCGAATAAATTTTCAAATCATTTCAAATACTTGAACATTATTTCAAGTTTTTGAACATTTTTTGTTACATGAGCATTCGATAAAAATATGTCAACACTTTATTAATTACCATGTTCTTTTTAAATAATCAAACACCTTTTTTTGTTACTAGAATTTTGAAAGTATGTAAACAAAAAAAGAGTCACTTCTGGATTATTCTTTATTCTCTATGGTTGGTGGGTAGGACAAAAATATATTTGTGTGCATGGTTTCACATACACCTCTATAAGCAGTAAAATAAAAAATATTCAGAATATTTTAAATATGTATGGTCAAGTGTTCTACCCATGTGCAAATTTTCGTAAAGAAATGACATTCGTGGTGCTCTGGGAGAAGAAAAACAATCGATTGACCATTGTTCTTCAAAAAGTCCATTTTAGAGCACCAGATTACTCTGATAACCGAAATTGTGAGGTCTAAATAATGTATTACTCAGGAATAAAGGACCTCATTAATATTTATAACATCCAATGAAATCTGTACACTGTCATGAAAAGATTTATAGATACATAAAAAATGGGGGTCGAGAGAGTGGGCGCGCGGGAGA